CTAGCGACCTGGCACTGTCGCCGACCTGGCGACCTACCCTTGGTGCTGACCTGGTGACCTGCCTCTAGCGCCAACCTGGCGACCTGCCTCTAGCGCCAACCTGGTGACTTGCCCCTGGTGCTGACCTGGCGATCTGCCTCTAGCGCTGACCTGGCGACCTGCCTCTAGCACCGACCTGGAGACCTGCCCCTATTGCCGACCTGGCGACCTGCCTCTAGCACCGACTTGGCGATCTACGAGACATGTTCGTCGTCGATTTCTACATGCATCCCATCACTCCCGAGTCTCTCGAAAATCAGCTTTCACACCGAATGTTTTGGGAGAAACCGAGTAAGGCACAAAGATCGGCCTACGTGCACGACTACCTCTGAAGACTTCAGAGCAGTTAGGCACGTCCTCCCAGAGATCCCGGACATGTTGCGTGATGCTCACGCCAAACAATATACCTATATAAAGGCCTTACCTCCAACTCCAGGGGGTAGATGCACAATTTAGTTCTCGCAGCTCTCTAGTTCTCTCACATTTAATTATCTTAAAATCTCTGATTCACTAACTTAAGCATTGGAGTGCCCATCCCGGGTAAAGCAACCTGGGCACTCTGACATTGTTTCCTTGCAAGTCTCATCAGAGCCACCTCTCCAACTCGTCACCATTTAGTTAGGCAACAGAGCCATCTCTCCAGCTCGTCACCATTCAATTAGGCATCAGAGTCACATCTCCAGCTCGTAACCATTTAGCTAGGCATCAGACCCACCTCGTAACCATTCAGGTAGGCGTCTAAGCCACTTTCCAAGCAGGAACCATTCAACTAGCCATCCAAGCCACATTCCAGATAGGAATTATTCAATCAAACATCAAAATTACCTGACCAGAGAGCTGCTAAAATGCACATCATCATAAATAACATAAAAAAAACTTAAAAAACAAAAAAATATCGATATTTGATATTTCTTACCCCATAAGCCAGCCAAACTCTCACTGTTTGAGATGTATACCAAAACGGCGCACGGAAGAGTGTTGGGAAGAAACGGAAAGGATGATTTTGAATTCAAAATTTGAAATTTGAAAGTTGGGGTTGGGGAAGCGTGAAAGCTGAAAAGTGAGCCAAAGCCTATACGACATTCAAGAGCGCCGAACCGAACCGAGCCGAGCCGATAAAATAATAAAGAGATTTTATATGAAGTACACGTGTCAGGAAGGCAGCAGTGGGAAACCCTTTAGTTCTTTATCCATGGAAAGCAACTCTCAAGTGCAGTCCCTATCACTGTTATTATGTGCCTAATTGAAATGCTGGTTTAAAGTCCGCTCCCAATTCCAGCAGCTGCAGCTGGAGCGCACTACCAAATATCCTGCTTTCTCTGAAAGGCATGGGGGCCCACATATGCTCCCCACCGGACCCAACCCTTATTCGCCATTCATTCATTCATTCATTGCCTGCGAAGCTCTGACTGAAGCCGATCTCTAGGAATTTAGGACAGCTCTACTCTACACCCCTATTTGGTTTGAAAGAAAAAAAGGTAAGGTTCCTTCCCATGACATGAGTGGTAGATGTTTTCTATGGGGACATATCTGAATAGTGAATACAATATAGAGATTTAACACTTAACACTAAGCTAGGGTAAAGATTAAAGTATAGTATTAAGTATTATATTGGATAATTTAGATATAGATACAGATATGAATATACTTTGGAAATGTATGGATACAGATAAAAAATATAGATATATTAGGAAAATGTATATAAATTTCATAAATATATTAATCATATTAAATTTAAAATCAAATAATTGTAAATAATATATAAATACAAACAAAATGTATATTTTAATGATATATATGAAAAATATATTACAATTAATACGGTATATGTATAAATTTCATACAATTTTATTGATAATACATTAATCAAGAGTCTGACACACATAATATATGCCCACATTATATTTTAATTATTATATCAATTATATTTTTACTTTTTTACATTAACAAAAAAGTCAACCAAATATTAAATTCACAAATGTAAATTAAAATATCAATTAATAATTTATAAAAGTTTATAATCACAATTTGAAATATATCAAATCTTTTAAATTTTCTAAGATACATATCATATGTAAATTTGTAATTTTTAATTATTCCATTACTAATATTTTTGTTTCTATAATTTTTCTAAAATTAAAAACCATTTTTATATAAATGTTGATTAGTAGATTTGATAGATTCTATTTAATATATTCTCAAATATTTCATAAACAACTTTTATTTTTGTAAATGGTTAATATGTTTTTATTTAATGTAATGTAAATTAAAATATTAATTAACAATTTATATATATATATATATATATATATATATATATATATATAAATTTTAAGTACTAAAATAATTATTCTATTATTAATATTTTATTTATATAAATTTCTTGAAATTAAAATCATCTTTTGATTTTAATGTAGATTTGATAGATTATATATTTCATTAGTTTATAAATATATTAATCTTAAATATTATTATTTTTATTTTTTAAACACAAACATGCAAGGTTTTAAAAATTGGCCCAGAAACGAAACCATTGGCCACGAGTTTCCGAGTCAGCGATTCGACCGTCCGAGTCGAACAGTTTGAACATTTAACCATTAAAAGCTTAAAATCATGTTATATCTCATCTTACCCATTGGATTGGAATATTAGGGTAAGATGGATATAAAAGTTATGAGATGGAGGTTGAGAGTGAGAATGAGAAGAGGGTAGTCGATTAAGAAAGAAGAGGAAGAAGAAGAAGAAGAAGAAGAAGAAGAAGAAGAAGGTGACATGTACCGATGATGGCAACAACGACAGCAACAATGATCTAAGATCTCTCTCTCTCTCTCTCTCTCTCTCTCTCTCTCTCTCTCTCTCTCTCTTTCTCTTTGATATGAGGTTGTTCTTTTCATTCTCTTTTGCTATGTTTTATTATTTTGTTTTTTTTTTTTAATTCTAAATAAATTATATTAAACCGCAATTGTTGTCTGGGTTGAATGGTTCTGCAATCAAACCATCCAAGTCAACAGTTCATTGACCAATTCAATGATTTTTGGTAAAATAATGGTACGATATTAAAACAAAACCAATACCTTAGCTGGTTTATGAGCCGAACAATCCAACTGTCTGATCTGGTCCGGTTTTCAAAACCATCCAAATATATATTTGGAGTACATGTAAATACTAAATTTAATGAAAGTTATTTTATTTCATTTATTTGAAATATCGAACCCCTTTAGTGTCATCTTCTTTAGTAGAAGGGAGTGTATCAGTCTATCGATATGTGTCGATCGATACAATGCGATATTACGTATTAACCTAATATGCCTCGATACGCACAACTGACAAAATACACCTCTAGTCGTAGCATATCTCGTATTGGATATGGTCAATAACAATATTGGGTGTATCGTATCAATATTTCAATCCTTGGTATTAGGATAATACTTCTAAGATGTCACAAAAACAAATAGAAGTTTAGCTTATTATCTCCGAAAACATGTTTTCAGGATAATATCTTTGCAAACATGCACGTAAGAGATAATAAGCCTTCTAGCTTGACACACCACACATTCAACATAGGTTTGATATTCGAGGGAAGACCCTCACACCATTAGCCTCAGTCACCTTCAATTATAATGCTATTTCAGTAGAATTTCCCAGTTACTTTATAAACTTCTAATAGAGCTACCATGTTGATGAACACACACTCCCACACCCTTTCTACCATGATACCTAAAGGGTACAACTGGACAAAGGGTGATAATTTCAACTTGGCCTAGACAATCTCAGTCTTAGGTTTTGTTTAAAATGGCAATTTGACCCATCCCCAAAGGCCATAGGGTGGGGCAAATTAGAGGATCCCTATTCTCCATGAAAACAGGGATGGGGTGCAAAGCCCAACCTAGCCCGGCCCATGGTCACATCTATCGGATTCCAACAAGTAACCATTTTTCTGAGGGACCAAATGAACACATGGAGCATCAGAAAAATTGGTATTAAAGCTCTTTGCAGCACCAATTGAAATGCTATGCATGCGTTAACCATACACGATGCATGGCATTTGAATTTAAAAAAAGTTTGGAAAATTTAGAGTTCAATCACCTCAACAATTTTTATTAGGTTTTTAGGTTTTATTTAGCAACACCTCTCCCCCCCTATGATAAACTTTCATGAATTGCATATAACCTCAGGCAAATATCCATTTATATTAGAGATGTATAACATCTAGAATTTTAAAGAATCTAAGTTGCCAGAAAGGCAGGAAACTTATCAAAACAGGAATTGATAAATCTCTTTGACCGATCAAAACCTCCTGTGAATTTTGATAAATATCATCTGATTGATTTCTACTTCTACAATATCGTAAAATTGGTCACTGGTCACACGTTTCCACTAAAATTACCCTCATCAAAACACGAGTAACAGAAGACAAAAATCATGAACACCTTGATAACATGACATAAAGCTGAAGTTCCCTAATCAAAACACGACTTGCGTAAAAAACCCGAAACAAAAATCATGAAAACACCTTGAGAACGTGACATACAGCTGCACACGATGCAGAATTCTGAATTCCGCCCCCCCCCCTACAACTAACCGTGTCCCCCCTATAAACCACATTGTGAATTTGGCATCAATATGCATTCCCCCTGTACTTTGGGCCTAGTAAATTCTGAGCTGGGCTGATTTGTACTTCTCCCATTTTTTTAATGTGGCATACATCTGGCCTAGCTACATAATATATTATTAGCGAGGTGCTCAAGGCCTTCAAAAGTTACGCAGTCTAATCCTTCCTACATCAGCATCGTAGGCCCCAGTTGTGCAGAGCTGCCATGGTAAATGATGATTTGTTCCAACATTACAAGTAAAATTGTAGTGGAAATTCGTAGCCCTTCTCCATTTATCACTAGGTTGTTAGATCATGTATCCTCTCTATTTTGTCAAAAAAAAAAAAAAAGAGCAGAAATTTGTAATGCTGAAAATGAAAAGGAAGCTTCAATTAATTAGTCAAACACAATCCTCAAAGCTGAACTCGTTGAAGCGGTAAAGAGGATTAATGGGTTAAACGTAATACAGACAACAGATGGGAAGGAATTCAGTTGCATGCAAGTTCACACTTGGGGAGAAAAAAGGCTCCACGGGTACAGGGTTTAAAAGACGTCTAGCTAGCTAATTAATGCACAGGACAGGACAAAGCTCAGTGGAGTAACTATAAAAATTTGGGTTAACCTGCCCTGTGATTTCCGTCGCTGCCAGCTGATAAAGAGCGTTCTCTACGCCTCCTATGCAGGTCCGGGTAATCATCTCCCCTCCTTCCATATGGAGAGCGAGATCTTGATCTTCCTCGCCTATAATCTCTGTCCTGCCGCTTGCGAGGTGAATAGCTACGAGACCGTCTGCGACCACGCCCTGCATAATTCGTATTCAAAACAAACACAAATCAAGTCAAACAGTTACAGAAACCAATTCCCATGCAATGAAAATTGTGCTAATTTTTCAATGATTGGAAATCGCTGCAGTTTGCTTTTGAAAACACGACAATTCGAGTTTTTTTTTCTTCTTTTTGCAAAGAAAGTCCCAAGCGGTTTTTCTAAAGACAATAAACTCACTGTCAAGAGAGGGCTTCACAAATCCTACAGAAAAGGGAAAAAAAAGAAAAGGTCTTGCAAGGTGATCTGTATTCTTGTTAAATGCATAAAACGTTTGTATCAAAAGAGTATAAAAGTTCTTAAGTCAAGGTATTGGGCAGAAATAATTCTATAATATAGGGGGATTAATACAAAAGAAGCTATTGATGCAAATTGACCGAGATCAGCATGCTCATCCAAAGACTTTTAGTCACGCTCATATTATGTTTCAGTATGATAATGCCTACAATTACCGTATCAATCAATGGCATGGTGACCTGCATGGGTCACAGTTCAAAGCCATTCCAGCCTTTTCTCAGTTCTTTTTTTCCTTTTTCTGCTAGGCATTCTCAGGGTTAATATTGAGGTAGTGCCCAATAGTGCCGAGGTTTGCATCTTATCCAACAAGAACTGGCATAGGACATGATGCCATGCTGCATTCAAGCCTATCCTAGTAGTGCTCCAAGCTAGTCTTGAGCCAACCCCAATTCATTCCATGTAACATGCAATCAAGTAATCAGTGGTTCAAATGTACCTCTTCGGTCCATCAGACCATGGTATCTGCCTGGAGTTGGTGTCCTCCCACGACTCCGTTTTGCCTGAGTACATAGATATAAAGCAGGGAGATAAAATCAAAGAAGCATGATACTGAATGCAGCTACTTGCTCAAAAAATTACACATTGTTCTGCTAGATCACTGAAACCACTCTGAATTTCAAAAGAAATGCAGTTGTCCTCTAGAATGATGATAACCTCTACTAGGGAAGGGTTTATATGAATTCGAGGTTACCATCATTTTGAAGACTCAGTCCCGTCATCTTTGAAATTCAGGCCATATTTTGACTACTACTCTGAAGCAGAGAGCTTCCAGCAACTCTCATGATATTGAACATGTAAACAATTCACCTTCACCAAAAAATGAGAATATGGGAGACCACCAAATCTAATGTGTCAAAACTTGTCAACTATTCTCTAAGGTTTTATTTTCATCGGAACAACAAATAAAACAACCTTGTCATGCACTACTATCAACCAAGAAAAGGTATACAGGGCATACAACCCTCTGCAAAACAGTCGGATTTGAATCGATGAATTTGGGATGTCGATGAAGAGCTCATGTCGAGAGGGGGAAGGTTCAACTGTTTAGAGCTTAGATTGTGAATTCGATGGAGCTACACACACCAGACCTGCTGCCAAAAGTTATCAGGCAACATTTCCGAAGATGAACAAAACCATAAAAATAGTACATATAAAATTACTCAATTACAAGATACACTATTTTTCTACTTCATCTGCTAGATGCATTAATACCTTTTGAACTGTGATTAATCGACCTTCAAGCACAGAACGGTCTAGATATTTGATACAGCGGTCAGCATCCTCAAGAGTTTCCATTGTTACAAATCCAAATCCACGAGATTCTCTTGTACGAGGATCAGTCACAAGATGGCATTCCACAACCTGCAGTCCAATATTACCCAATAAGGTCTTGCAATAACTGATACTTGAAAACATTATCAAAATGAATTTTTCCTGTCAAATATGGTTTAAGCAGAAATTACAGGTACAAGCAAAAGTGGCTGAGTAGTTAACCTGTAAATGTTTGTTTGATGATTGAATTGTCCCATTCAAGGTTTGAAATTTTGATACAATGTAATATTGTATTGTATCTTTTGTAGACTGATACACCTATTTTAAAGGATTTTAAGAAAATCTTTTTTTAATAATTAAATAACATAAAAAATGGACACCTCTCTGAAATTTTGATAAAAAACTACAAAAAAAAAGAAAAAGTGCACTGTTCAAAGTATCGATACACCCCTTCTGGCGTATCGGAGTCTAATGATATTTTGAACCCTGGTCCCATTACTTCTGTAAAATAAGGTCAGCAGGAAATAATAAGGATCTTGCTTGTACTCTGGTGTTTAGATTGCATGGTTAAAAAATCAACCAAAAAGCAAAACAGATTGCATAACCATAGACTTAAACCATGCACAGAATGTCTCATTAACTAATAAGGGATATTCTCAAGTTTCAACTTCAATTATTACTAAGAGAAGAGAATATTCTAAAGATGGGCACCACTTCCCACACCCACCATATATCACATTGCTAATCCCAGTAATCTGTGCAAAGCAACCAATCATTTAATCTTTTTATTATGGGTAACAAATCTAAAATTTAAACAGTCTTTTATCCCTCACATGTCAATTAACAACAGGAAGAAAAGATAAGACAAAAATGAAAACATGTGAAAAAACTCTACTAATTCAGTTCAACTTAAAAAAAAATGAAAACATTTTTTTAACATTATTAAACATAATGTAAAAATGGGTTGACCAAATCCAAAACCATACTTATTGCAGAAATAATAAATGAGAAGTAAAATCTACAGAAAATCTCTCCAACAGAAAAATACAAAAGAACAATCTTCAATGTTCAAACTGCAATTAGTTCAACCCATACACTGCCTTTTTGCCCACAAAACCTTTTCTACTGCCTGTATCTAGGAGTAGATCAACACTATCAGGTTGGGTCAATCAACTAAAATGAGGAAATGCAAACCCAGCATTGACAATTGGCATATCTGAAAAAAGATAAGATTAAAGCAATTAAGTTTGGGTGTCAAGGATTGCAGCACCAGCTTAACCAGATATTCATGAAATCAAGGCTCATAGACATAACCTCACATGCCCAAAATCCCAATTATATTGTCTAGAATACAACTCAACTAAATTCAGCCTTAATCTTAAAAATTTCGGGTTGCCTGGTTAAAATGCACAGGATATAATTATCAGTTCATTATTCTTCTGTACAAAGGATCTAAATCTAAAATAAATCATCAAGTAAAACTAATTAGAATCCCTAGAATCTAGCAAATAGGAGACATAAAGAGTATGTATGACAATCTCAAGAATCACCAGAATTTAAGAACAATAGAGCATATCACCTCTATGATTTCATCATTCATCTCTTACTCTCTGTAGTCTGTAGGTTGTCATATTCAGCCAGTATCCTCAAAGTTCACCAGTGAAATGTGATGAAAACACATTACCTATACTCAAGAGCCATTCTATAACAGCTTAAGTGGCTGAACTGAAAAGCTTATTCCTTTGTCTTATAGTGAATAAGTTTTAAAGGAGGTTGTGGAGGTTGTGAGCTCCTTAAATGGATGAAGCTGAAGCTCGATAGATTATTATACCATTTAATATTTTAGTACTTAATTATGTTATCCGCTAAAAGGAAAGCAACAAGTCATTCAGTTCAGCAACTTTAGCCATCATCAAATGGCCGCTAAGGTGTAGAACATGGAATATTGGAGTTTTTATCCATGATTTGATAATAAAACTGGTAATTACTGTTGTGGATGCAAAAAAGGAACACGTACTGATTGTTACGCTCATCCATTGCATCAAAATCCACATAAAATCTAATGGCAGCATTTACTCAAGGGCATTCATAAATTCTTCAATGGAAGCTAAGGCTGTGTTTGGTTGGGGAAGAGCTGGAAATGTGCAATGAAAGGAAAAGGATTTCACTAATCCCTCTTTGGTCTTTGCCGTTCAACTCTGGAAAAGGAACTGAGAGAAACAAAAAGGACAGCAGTTCTCAAACTGTGTTTTCTGTCAGTTTGATTTAAATGGAATAAATAATCATTCAAACTAACAGCTAATTGCACAATATTCATTGCTTTCCACTTCTTCCCCGAAATCCAAACATAGCCAATCATGAAATCCTTCTATCATTGTGGTTTTTTTTGGGGTGGCATGGAAGGAAAGACATATTGATGCAAGTTACAGGGACAACCCACTCACAGCTACCTGTACACAAGGAATTCAGGGATATCCCTCATACTGTTTTCTTTTTTTTTTTTACTTTTACTTTTATATGGGCTGTATAGACAACGTATAGCCTTATTTTTTCAGATACTGAGATTCACGGTATATGGATAGTAGTTGTACAGGGACATATACATATAATGATGCATTTACTTGAGTAACAAAATTATATCTTTCCTTCCCCAATATATAGCTTTAAGTTTTACTAATTCCATCATGGACTAATGATTATATTCAGTAATTTCCATCCAAGTTCATGTAAAACTAAAGCTAACATCTACCTTCAGGACATACAATGGTCCTTGAAATGAGGAAATGTAACCATTAATCCTTATACTACGTTATTGCTTTGATTAAATTCTTTTTCCTCTGTTCTACGATGCTACACATAAAACCCTTCTAAAACTCATAATAAACTTGAACGTCAGAAATACTTTCGAACAATGTGGTCTATGGTTTAAGGCTTTGCAACTACTATAGCACTGTCAGATCTTGTCAGTTCTCAGAAAAGTTATCAAAAAGGCATTCCTCAGATTTGTAACAATTAAATCAAGCTAAAATTGAGTAATTCTCAAAGTTCAAAACTTGAAACAGGGTAGTGAAAATATAACACTAAATTGTAAAACCCCATATCTGGTTATTGTATTAAAACCAATAATTGATGTGTGAGAAAAACAAGGAGGAAAGGGATTGTGTGCAAGGTAGACCTAGAGAAGGCTTATGACATGGTTGATTGATCTTTCTTGATGCAAGTGTTGGATTGTTTTGGCTTCGGGGAGAAATGGTGCAAATGGATACTAGAATGTATTGAGTCTTGTCATTATTCTATCCTAGTAATGGAGTTGTGGTGGATCACATTCCAACTATTAGGGGAATTAGAGGTGTTGAGGAGGTTAATTGAGAGAGAAAATTCGAGAGGTCTAGTGAGGGGGTGGAAAGTTGGAGAAGCTAGTGTACCTATTACCCATTTACAGTTTGATGATGATACCATTTTGTTCTGGGAAGGGGAGGAGGTGAGATGAGCCAAGAATTTGAAGTTGGTGATTCAAGTTTTTGAACAGATGCCAAATATGAGGGTGAATTTTGATAAGAGTTGTGTAGTGGGGCTTAATATGGAAGAGGGAGCTATAAGGGAAAGAGCAGAAGTTTTGAGTGTGTGGTGGCTCAATGGCCTATGAATTATTTGGGGATGCCCCTTGGAGATAATCCGAAGAAAGAGAGTTTTTGGAGCCCTGTAATTGATGGGTTTCAGAACAAGTTAGCCTCTAGGAAGAAGAATTACTTATCTCTGAATGGCAGAATCACTTTGATTAAATCTACATTGGCAAGGTGAATTGGGAATTGGTTCCTAAAAGTAGGGTTGATGGAAGGTTGGGACTAGGTAATGTTTGAAAGAAAAATAAAGCTTTGTTGGGAAAATGGCTGTGGAAGCTGGAAGGTGAAAGGGGGAAGCTGTGGACTAGAGTAATTTTGAGTTTTCATGGTCAGGTAGAGGATGGCTGGGATACAGGGACCTCAGCAAGATCAGCTGATGCCTCTCCTTGGAAATCCATACATGCAATTCTACCCTCTTTTCTGCAACAAATCATGTATGTGACCTTTGTTCTAGGAATCAAATTAAATTTTGGGAACACATTTGGGTGGGTGATTTACCTTTGAAAGAACAATTTCCTTTTTTTTTTCACTTTCTCGGTAAAAAGGCAAGGTTGTATCTAGTTTTCTAGTTTCTTCTCAGTCCAAATTTGGGTTTGAATGGGATCTGGGGATTAGGAGAGGCCTAAGGGATTCAGAAGCTGAAAGTGTATTGAATTTGATTCAAATCTTAAATGAGGCGGTGTTGGACCCCTCTTAAAGGGATAAGAGATTGTGGACTCTAACTCATTCCATGTCTTTCTCTTGTGCTACCTTTTTTAAGTCCCTCTTGCCTTCTAACAGTAACCCTGCACAAAGTTTCCCCTTTAAGGAAGTTTGAGGTGAGCCAATTCCTCCAAGGATTGGAGCTTTCTATTGGGAAGCTTCCTTGGGAAGTTGGGAAGATGTAACACCTGTGACTTACCCCAACGGAAAAGGCCTTATTGGTGCTTGTCGCCGATTGGTGCATTCTCTATACGGCTAATGGTGAAAGCTCTTACCACTTATTAATTTCTTGCCCCTTTGCTTCTGTTATTTATGAATGGTTTTTCTCCCTTTTAGGTTCCAAGTGGACCCCCTTGTCAAACATCCAAAGTCTTTTTAGCTCCTTGTTCTTATAGATGGCCTAAAAGAAGGGGCAGGATTATGTGGAGATGTGTGAGAGCTGCTACTTGCTGGACTTTATGGGAGGAAAGGAATTCCATAATTTTTCTAAAAAGGATAGAAATAAAGAAGGTACCATTGAGGCCATAACGGTTAGGGGGGTGCATTGGCTAAAATCTGTGCAACTATTTGATGATGTGTCTACAGATATGATGTTGAATAGCTGGGTGGATGTGGCAAATTCTGCTCGGGCTCAACCTACTGCTTCTCCTGTGTGGTCACCACCTGGCAATGGTTTTATAAAGCTAAATTTTGATGGGAGTAGTGAAAGTAATGCAAGCTATTCAGGTGTAGGAGGTGTCTTTAGATGACGGTGGGAAGGTGATGGCAATGTATTCAGGCTCCATTGGGGTTGGGGACTCTCTAAAAGCTGAAATCTATGCCGTATTGGAGGGTATTAGAAAGAATAAGGAACTGAATGTACAAAAATTAATTATTGAAGGGAACTCAAAGTTAGTGTTAAGCTGGCTGCAAAGGGGAAGTGGTCTTTGGAAGTTTGCTAATAAAAGGAAGGAAATCAAATGGCTAACTAGGGGGATGGACATCCAATTTCAGTGGGTAAAAAGAACAGCAAATGCTTTGGCAAAACAAGGTGTGGGAAGGGGTCAATTGTACTGGGCTGTATTGTGAGCTTGATGTTGCTTTCTTGGGGAGTGTTAAGCCTTTTTAACTCTCTGATTTCTGTACTGTTGTTTATATATTAATCTAATGAAATTCTGTTATTGATAGAAAAAAGTACCTTTCCTTCACGGCTAAAATATTTCTCAAGATCATTGGTAGTAACCCTTGTAGATAAGCCTGTAACATACAAGTTATTTCCGGGATTGGCTGCATCTCCAGAATCTTGGCTCCTATTGTCAATACCACACAAAACAATATGCATCAAGCTATTCATGAAAAAAAAGAAAGAAAAAGAAGCTATGAGCAGCATCCAAATGCCAACGCTAACATAAAATATGAAACAAAACCAGTAGATATACCTGGAGCGACTCCTCCCCCTTGACCTTGACAATGATCTTGACCTATGACCTCTATGGGGTGAGGGGGAGCGGGAGGGAGAGGTAGACCTGAAAGCATGATGAACATATAAGTGATTTCTTTTATGTACCAATGATAATTAAGGCGATGAAAGAAATACAACTTGAGCAATCTCCATAAAGAGAACTGACCTTCCCTCTCTTGAATATGACATCTACCAGAATCAAAACATTATGCATGGCATTAGCACCCAAATATAGTTTAATGATACAGAATTCTTAAAGGTAGCGTAATAAAGTTCAATGCCCATAAAATAAACACGCTTTACGGGTAAAACACTTAAAGACTTCAAATTCAAGACTTCAAATGCTCGTAGAAATTGATTTTGTTCTCAGACCAACATTTTTAACGAGAACGAGACGGAAACCCTAAAAACTTCAGAGTTATATAACTGAAAACGCAGAAATCGGCAGAAAAAAAAATGTGAGCGGGAGGGTTGAGATTATCAAACGAAGCTTACCGCTTGGATTTGATGAACTTGAAGGAGATGAAAGAAGATTTGCAAGGAGGGAAAGATAAAACGGAAGCCCTAAAGCAGGCCGTCCTCTCAAAACAAATTAGCATCAAAAGGAAACGAAACAGAAGATATTTTGATGGACAAATTTCTTAAACTACCCCCTAAGGTTTATACATTGGCCAACTCTACCCTTATTCTTTAGTTATTTCTCTTATAAAGTATTCCTATGTTTCGAGACAACTCTCTTCCCGTTAACTATTTGTCATAGTCCGTTACACGTGACCCTAGAATGTTTGATTTAATGTTAAATTAGCGAAGGGGCCCTGTGTTGTAGGGGTTCGCTCATAAATTATCGGACTTAGAGCTCGATTTGAATTAGAGATTTGAGTTCGAGCTCGAGTTCAATTTGAGTCAAAAGCTCGGAAGTTTGAGTTCGACTACCTTTAATTGTAGGTCTCTCAAGCAGCCGAGGTTTCCCTTAACTGTTGAAGTGTCAAGCTGAGTTTTCCCTAGCAGGCGAGGTGTCGAGCTAAGGTCTCCCTTAGTTGATAAGGTGCTGGGCTGAGGTCTCCCTCAGTTGCCGGGGTGTTGAGCCGAGATCTCCCTTAGTGGTCGAGGTCTCCCTCAGTGGTCGAGGTGTCATCTAGCTCAAGCTCGACTCGAATTATAGACTTGAGCTTGAACTCAGAAGTTCGAGCTAAGCTCGGCTCGAACTCAACTACCTTTGATTGCAGGTCCCCTAGCAACCAAGATGTTGAGCTAAGGTCTCCCTTAGTTGGAGAGAGAGTGGCATTCTTGTAATTTATAAGGAGAGAGATGGCATTCTTGTAATTTGTAAGAAAGAGAGAGAGAGAGATTTGGTAGGAAAGAGAGTGGCATTCTTATAATTTGAAAGAAAAAAAAAGCAAGAGAGAGAAAGAAAATAGAGGGTTGGTAGGAGAGAGTGGCATTCTTGTAATTTAAAAAAAAAGCAGTAGAGAGAGTTGGTAGAGAGTGGCATTCTTGTAATTTATATGAAAAAAAGGCAAAAAATACTATTAGATTCCATTTCCCTCATCCTCAAGCCTTCTTACGTGCACATTTCAGCTTAATATATTTACCAACGGAGGAGACCCTACGTTGCAGGGGATCACTCATAAACTATCAGGCTCGAGCTCGATTCAAACTAGAGACTTAAGTTCGAGCTCAAGCCCGACTCAAGTCAAAAGCTCGAAAGTTCGAGCTCGGCTACCTTTGATTATAGGTCTCTCAAGCAGCCAAGGTTCCGATGGTCTCCCTCAATTGCCAAGGTGCCAAACTGAGGTCTCCCTCAACTGCTGAAGTGTCAAGCTGGGGTTTCCCTAGCAAGCGAGGTGTCGAGCTAAGGTCTCCCTTAGTTGACAAGGTGCCGAGTTGAGCTCTCCCTTAGTTGTCGAGGTGCTGAGCCGAGATCTCCCTCAGTGACTGAGGTGCTGAGCCGAAGTCTCCCTAAGTGGTCGAGGGTGTTGTCTAGCTCGAGCTCGATTCGAATTAGAGACTTGAGCTTGAGCTCGGTTCGAATTAGAGACTTGAGCTTGAGCTCAAAAGTTCGAGCTCGGCTCGACTTGAACTCGACTACCTTTGATTGCAGGTCCTCTAATAGCTGAGATGTTGAGCTGAGGTCTCCTTCAGTTGGAGAGAGTGTGGCATTCTTGTAATTTATAAGGAGAGAGAGAGATGGCTAGGAATGGCAACGAGACGGGTTTGGGGTGGGGCACCCCCTCCCTGTCCCTGGTGGCGGGGTGGGTTCGGGGCTGGGCATCTACTCCTTGTATGGGGAAGGCAACTACTTAAAAATTATCTATTTTATGGATAATTTACACATAGGGTATAAGAATTTGGGGGTATTTTAGGAATTGAATTATAATGTTTTAGGGGTAATTCAAAAATAGAATCATGAAGTCCTAGGATTTTAAGAATTTAGGGAAAAACTTAGAAATATTTTAAATTATCAATATTAAACCCAGAAATATTTTACTAATTTACCTTCGAGTTCAAGGCGGGTTTGGGGAATTATATACAAAACCCGTCCCCGGCTTTCGTCCCCGCCCCGTCCTTGTTTAGGGTCGGGGAAAACCTGCCCTGTTCGGGGTAGGGCCTCAGTTTTACGGGGGAAATTGTCATCCCTAGAGATGGTAGGAGAGAGAGAGAGAGAGAGAGAGAGAAATGGCATTCTTGTAATTTATACGAAAAAGAAAGAGAGTTGGTAGGAGAGAGTGGTGTTCTTGTAATATAAAAGAAAAAAAAAAGCAAGAGAGAGTGAGAGGGAGTTGGTAGGAGAAAGTGGCATTCTTGTAATTTAAAAGAAAAAAAGGCAAAAGAGAGATAGTGGCATTCTTGTAATTTCTATGAAAAAAGCAAAAAATACTATTAGATTCCATTTCCCTCATCCTCATGCCTTCTTATGTACATATTTCAGCTTAATATATTTATTGATGAAGGGTGATTTGGCCCGACCTAGTAAAGAGGGGACACGTGGACACGACTTGACCAAGAGATGACAACTCAGCTTATCATGACTAGTTCGTAGCAGATCGAGCTCAGGTACCCAACCGCCCCAAACTAAAGTGACATCGGGACGAGATCACCTCGGTACCAGATCGCAACAAGAACACCTTGATGCCAAGGCACTTCGACACTCAACCCAGTTCGGGACTTAAAGACATCAACTCGGGGATACCGACATGTCACTACGTGGTGATCCCGAAAACCCCTCCAACGGATATCGGGCCTCACATGATCATGCCGCATAACAGCTAGCATTATCTCCCCGACCGATTCGGGTGGAACTGATGAACCTTATTGGTTGGCAGTGTTATCTTCCAACTAACGCAGAAACAGATCCTATCGTGACGAAGATCCCGGAACCGATCCGCGAAACCCATGAGGATTTGACTATATAAAGGCTCCACCCTCGGAGGTTCAAGGTACGTGTGATTATTCTACTCTCTAGCTCTCTACACTCTAAAGCTTTCTAGCTCGCAACAGTCTACTAACTTAAGCATCGGAGCGACCTCGCCGGGCTAGCAACCCCAAGTTCTCCATCCTTCTCTTGCATATCAACTTAGTCCGTTGTCCCCCTGGAAGCCAGTTCACCTCCAGCAGGGAGCAGCTAGATCGTGCTACATCATTTGGCGCCATATGTGGGAAATGCTACAAAAAGCCTTTTTCCACCATCAATCACATAATCAAATCCATGGCATCCTCCAGCAACGCCGGACAAAACAACGAAGTGAACGTCTCCGGGGGGCAGCCTCAGTTCGCGTCTGTCTGCATCGGTCAGTTCACCATACCGCTTATTGCAGCTGGAGTCCCAACGCTGACCATGCCCCAAGCGATGACTCAGGTCACGCTCCCTCCAGTAGTTAGCGCGACCTTCGTTGAACCATCTGTGGTTCCCCTGGAGTCGGGTAATCCCAGCTTGACGACCTAGTACACTGCGTTCGGGCCGTTCAGGTCTAAATGCAACAGGTCCAACAGTACCAACACTATCAACAACAAGTCCTCCATTATTTCTACCAGCAACAATATCAACAGCAATTCCCTCCTTTGCAGCGAAATCAGCAACCGGTTCCACCTCGACACCCAGAGGTACAGAATCAATCTCGTCGGCAAAACACTCGTTCTCCTCGTCGAGGCGAGACCTCCCAAGTTCCACTTCCTCTTGGGAGTCCGGTCTCGTCCCGCGGTAGGAGGGACAGACAAGTCACCCTGCCCGCTTCACAGGGCAACATTGCGAACAGGTCAGGAGATACTCAGCCTGCCAGAGCCATTTTACCTCGGCCCTCGCATCATGAAGGTTTGCTTGCAGGGAACCGGTTCGGGGTTCTGGCTGCAAACTCGAAGCGAGGCCCTTCTGTTCATGGCAGTCAGCCTCAACATCCAGAGCCACTCCGCGCCAGAACGGTACCCGACTACACAGAGGTCAGCAGCACTAATGCGGAGCCAATCAAGAAGCAGCAATGAAGGCGTCGCAAGGCACGCCGAACTACAGCTCATAGCCAGCTCGCTGGGCCCAGCCAGCCAGAGAAGGTAAAAGGTAAAGAGGAGGCGAGCTCAGTAGCCACAAAGACCGTTCCTCTCCTCTCTGGGTCATCCCCTCTGTCCTCCGAGCTCCTGGCGACCCCGATGCCGAAGGACTTCAAAATGCCTCTGCTGGACAAGTACGATGGATCTTTTGATCCAAACGATCATGTGGACTCCTTCTAGTCCCAGATGCACCTAGCCGGGGCTAACGAGTCCTGCATGTGCGTGGCCTTCTCCACAACATTCAAAGGAGTAGCTCGTACATGATACAAAAACCTCGCGCCAAGGACAATCAAAAGTTAGGCGCGGTTCGTAGAGATGTTCACCTCGCACTTCATCACCAGCAAGAAGTGCCCGAGGTCCCAAGAAAGCCTCCTCAACGTAGTCCAAAGAGAAGGGGAGTCTATCAGAAGCTACATTAGACGCTTCAATGACACCTACTTACAGATCCCTAATCTAGATCCAGCTGTGAGGCTCACGGCAGCGAAGAAAGGTATTACCCATAGGGAATTCAAGTAGTATGTAGTGGCCAACAAGCCCAAGGACATCACCGAATTCCTCAAGCACGCTGATCAGTTCGTCGGGACCGAAGAAGAGATGAACCAAAAGAATGAAAATCCAGCGGAAAAGAGGAAAAGAGAAGGTGACAACGCGAGTAACAGTGGCAGCAAACGAAGAAAGAGAAAGTCCTTGACCAGGGGAGGAAACAAATTCGAAAGTTGATCTCCTTCACGATCTCATAAGTCAGGTCGGCGTTTTAGAACTCTGCCGGTTGAAAGGACAAGCTACACACCCCTCAACGCGAAGCAAGGAGAAATCCTTATGGCGATCAAAGACTCCTCCTATGTGAAGTGGCCACCTCGGTTGTGGGGAGATCCCACCACCAGAAACAGAAATGTGTATTGTCATTTTCATAAAGACCACAGTCATAGCACCGAAAATTGTAGAAATCTCTGCAATGAGATTGAAGAGCTAATCCATTGCGGATATATAAAAAATTTCATATAGAAAGAAGACAGAGATCAGGCTAACCGCCAAGCAGACCGACAGGGGGAGCAAAGAAGAAATGCTCCCGAGTCCA